AAAAGCTCAAAAGCGCCCCCCCCCAAAAAAAAATCCTTTGCGTGCCAGGTTCGCGTAAATGGTAAATAAGCCAATGGGTGAAAATAATTTTAGAGATCTCATATCAATTTTGACTTTACAGCCAAAGGCAAATCCTTAATATTTCCCCAACAGATAACCAAAAGGTTACTCTTTAGCTGTCCCTATGGCAATGGAAGTGTATACAAAAGACTTTCATCAGTTTATGTGTAGTCATGCAGCATGTAGATATCTGCCTTTAGCGTGGATCCTTTAGAATGAACATATTCAAGGACTGAGTGCTTTCTTTGCTTTCTTTATGCTTGGGGCACAACAATGGATAAAGACTTTTGAATCAAGTGTGAAATACAATTATTGTTTTTATTTTGTCAAATATCAACTTACAAAACGGATTACTTTTGTAAAACCTATATAAAAGTGAAAAATTTTCAGTACATTTGTACAGGAATTGCCAAAAGATATAGACATTTCAATCAGCCGCACAGAAACTGGTGTAATCTCTCCCACACCAATGCCTCTCACGTGTTTCACCAGTATGATTAAGCTCAGGTGGTGAAATGCGTGAGTGTCGGTGTGGGAGAGATGTCATGGTGATGTATTTGCTATAACACAATTTATTTTTGATTTTATCTGGAATGTTACCACAATAAAGTTGGATTTTTATGGACACTGGTTTCTGGGCAGCTGATTGTACAAGTATTGCCAAAGGAGTGGGAGCACACTAGCCTGCACCCGATGCATACATTTCACTGACAGCGGTGGAATTGGAGTGGTGAGTTCTTGATGCTTTTTGGATATTACAAATGTCTACCTCTTGTTGCAACTGAGGAATGTCACTATAAATTAGACATTTCTATAGCTATATAAACACAAAGGTAATGTATGGTTTTATAGGTATTATAATCTTTTGACTTAAAAACGAGGGAGCTGCCCACCAAACTTTTAAATTAATAAAACGAATATCAAGCGAGACCTCCAAGATGAAGGCTTTGGAATTAGACGCACTTAGGCCCATGAGAAAGACTTGTATTTATATTAAGCTACACAATTTCATATTTACATAGCACTCTACAACCCTACATTTTCATAAGCTATAATATTAATATCCACAGACCTGTTAAATAATCGAAGAAAATAGCATGTTTGAACTCACCATAAAGTTATTTTCTTAGAGCCCAATGAGAGACACAGGAAGTCTTACCTTTGGGTAATACTGCCACCTATAGGCGGATTGGACACTGGCAAAACAAAAAAAAAAACGGAAGTCTAACTTTTGGGACATACAAAAGCTGTCCAAATGAGGGATGACCCTTAAAGCAAACACTGACAGGCCCAAGAAAAACATTGAGGAACCATAGTCTGCCTGCAGCTCAAAGAGCTGTCTGAAGGATAGCATGCCGATGCGGATTGCAAAGGTGGAATTTAGAGAACATGCAACCAGAAGTCCAGGTGGCAGCTTTGAAAATCTGGAAAACAGCTGCTCAATGCCGAAAAGCCCAGACAAACTACCAGATCAAGCAGAGTGTGCCTTGACAGGAAAGGGTGGAAACTGATCCTCAAGAACATAAAAAGGTATACAATTGTTTGCCTGAGCCACCTTGAGATGGTGGAGTGAGAAGTTAGTGCACCTTTATGGGGTCTATCTGGGGTTACAAAAAGGGAATCAATCTTCTGAAAGAAGCAGCGGCTGAGTAATTGAATTGCACAGCCTAAACTACAGAGGGAAATTTCCTTTTGGTGAACTGGAGCCGGAGAGAGGAATACAAGGAGTGCCACCTTGTGGGTGACAGGAGAGGGAAATGTCTCTAATGGGTGGGTTCAAATGGTGGTTTCTGAAATGCAGAGAGCCAGATTCTGATCTCAGAGTCACAGAGGAACGAACCGGAATAGATGCACAGGAGACTACCTGTGCAAAAAAAAAAATTAATCAAAAAGTGAGAGGCCAACGGAGGAGGAGATGACAGAGCTGGTGGGTTCCATACAGAATTTCTGGTCTTGGAAAATAGACATTTTGAGCTTTTAGATCCAAGATGGGGTGGATACTCCCTTAGGGTTTGGGAACGGTGAACAGGTTGGAGTAAAATCCTTAAAACCGTTCTGCCAAAAGGAACTGGGGCAATGATACCTTGGTGTATACGACCCAACAAGGCTTGATGAATAATCTGTGTGGTGACAGGGTGGTTGAAGGATTGGAGAGGCTTACCGTGTGCAGTAAAAGCAGAGTAAGCAATTTCACTATATGATAATAGCCTGAACAAGTGAGCAAGACAGAGAATAAGGCTGCAGTTCTGCTTTAATCTGTAGTTTAGCAAATTCTTCATATAGCACTCAAACAGTCACAAAAAAAAAAAAAGTTCCCCTACTGCAGTTTGTTTGTGTGGCCAGATTACCCTGGGGTGCCTTTGGCAAAATTATACATGGAAACAAATCATGTTTTACTAATGGCAAGGAGAAAAAATAACACAGGGAAAACAGTCTACAATTTTCCAGTAGGCAGAAACTCCAGCTAATCAGCAGTTTTAGCCAAGTCTTTATTTTTGCACATAAAAGGCTGCAATATATAATGGTCACAATTTAGCATAACTAAAGTTCTTTCATAAATTCAGTCTAAGCATTTCCGGATAACAGACTAATCAGATCTTTAGGTGGAACTCCAGGCAAATACAAACTTTAGTCTGGTTATGTATCCATAAAAAAGGCAGATGGTATAAGTAGTATCCAAGTCTGTCTATATATTAAAGTAACACTAAAAACTCAAAAATTATATATTAAAAATAAGTTATATTATATAATTAATGACTGTGTACCTTAAGTTGTCATTGTTCAGCTCTAAATGCAAAATTAGTTTTATTTTTCTCCATCCACAACTGCCTGCCAGATGGTGGCTACTTTTCTTCTCCATGGTTCTTATGTGTGCTGAAAAAGTAACCACCCTCAGTGCTCGTTCATGTGAAGGACTACAGTCAGACATGAGAACTATGAAGCTCTCAAGTCTCCTCTTTAGAATCCTCCCAGTCTCCGCCCAATAATCCTTCTCCTCTCTAGACTCTAGGGCTGCAACAACTAATCGACATAATCGATTATAATCGATTGAAAAAGTTGTCAACTTTTTCAATAATCGATTAATCGGCTTCCGATTGGTTGGCCCTGTTCACGGCTCCACACACGCTGCACGCCACACCTCCTCCCCACCTCACGCTCGCCGCTGCCAGACCCGCCCGCATCCACACCTCCTCACGCTCAGTGCTCGCCAAAATCCACGATCGGCACAGGTGCGCGGGGAGAAGAAGTAAGGAGGAGCAGGCGTGAGGGAATGACAATAGGCCCATGATTAACCGATTGATCAAACTTAATAATCGTCCAACTAATCGATTTTGAAAATAATCGTTAGCTGCAGCTCTACTAGACTCTGCACTGAGCTCGGATTTCTGGGTTGAGCTGAATGTTAGGATTATCGCAGAAGTTTGTTTTTTTTCCAACATTAAGTTTCTGAAGACATTCAGCATGTCAGCTGTGAGCAGGCTCAGACTTTTCTCCGAGTCTGATGGATAAAGCACCAACTTTTTACAAAAATTTTGAATGGACTAGAAAAGGGTTAAAAGTAGGTATGCACCGATACCTGTTTTTCGGTATGGAGTAACGATATTTATCTTTAAAGTATTCTCCAATACCGGTACTTTCGGGAGCATGGAGCCGACTTCCTGGTCATTTAGGAAGGCAGGCAGCGGCAACATGCTGTTTGACCGGCTCAATGCTGATTGGCTTGGAAGCCAGCTTCCAGGCCAATCCGCATTAAGATTTTTTTTCTTTTTTTTTTCTTTAAGAACACCTTGTATTCTGTGAGAAGTATGCATATATTTTGAACTGATCCAACTGCCAAGGTAGTATTGCCTTTTGGAGGTTAAACTTGAAACATTTGTTAATTTTTCAGGGGTGTGGACATTTTTTTAAAAACTACTTGTTCAAGGACTAAAGCGGGGCCTGATCTACTTGTCCCTCATGACAATCTACTCGTCCAGATACAAAAAAATTATTTTAACCCAAACCATATTTAGCAGTGCTAAGAAGAGCTTCTCATTGGTCAGCGCCGTCAGGTGACCTCGTTGACCAACGAGTGATTGCAATTTGCGAGCGAAATTCAGAATACAGGGAACATGTACAGACTGGTGGACGGGAAGGACCGTTCGCCGAAAAGGCAAGTATAAACATAAGTATAAACAGGGAGGAAGAGGGGGCCAGATTTGTGCGGGTGATTCCATTTTCCCAAATTACTTGGGGAAGTGAATTTACCCTTTAAGGCTGGTGCAAACTTGGGCAATCCCAGGACGCGTGATTGTGTGCGGTTGCATACAGCGACTGCATCCGCATGTATGGGGTTACATCTGCGTGGCAATCGCTGAAAAAAAAGGTACATGTACCCTTTTTTTTGCGTCACGCCCTGCTACTTGCTCACAGCAGAGCTAACATACTGAGAAAACCCCTTGCCCAGCGCCCGGAACTACATGTCCCGGGCGCTGGGCGATACGGGACACACCCCTGTTTTTAATACTAGTTTACTAACCACTGGGTAATGAGTAAGCTCAGATGTATGTGGCCGATTGTTTATATTTGTAAAGTTGTTGGATCTACACATTTGGGAAAAATATACTGTACAATGCCCTGTGATCATTTTGTAAAATTTTTCCTCCAGTTCAACACTTCAGAATTCTATTATAGTTTACAAGGGGCTTCTTTTCAGTTAGAACAGTTACATTTTGGAACTCCCTGCAGTGGTATCAGCAGAGAACATTCAATTATTCAAAATTCAATTAATACCTTCCTCATAGACCGTACTATACAGGGGTACAAGTACTCTGAACTACTAGATCACACAGGGACTCGTATACACAGACACACAAAAGGTTGAACTTGATGGACCTGTGTCTGTTCAACCTCACATTACTATGCAAGAAAAAAAATGTTCAGTTCATGATGTGTAGTACCTGCCACCTCCACAATGTCCCCAGGAACAATATCTCTGGCTCTTATACGCTGAACTCCATTTCGGTCCCCACGGATTACTTTTCCCATTTCTGGTTCATATTCCTTCAGAGCTTCAATGGCACTCTCAGCATTTCTTTCCTGCAATAAACATCAGCACAAAGCATTTGTTAGACAAAGTGAATGGTGGAATTGTGAACTTCTCTTGCTTCAATACTTTGAATCACTTACCTGCAACTATGCAAGTAAGTACTTCTAAATTTTTCCTGACCTTTGTGATGGGCATTCTTGTTTAATGTGGATCAAAGCCCTAACTGGACTACAATACCAAGTGTAAAACAGTTCACATGCGTTGTTATTTTGTCTTTTTTTTTTTGCATCTCAGTGATGCTGATGTACTCCAGCTTCTTTTCAACCACTGTTTTTGTGCACTTGCCTCAAGGATCACTGCATGTCACTGCTATGGTGACAATTATGGATATGCCTGCAAAATTGGCACGGCTAATTGTAGATTCTAATCGGAAACTATAAGGATGCCCAAACAGTGAGTGCAGCCAATCAGCTGCAGTCACTGTTCAGTCGTGAATTGTCTGCCCAACTTCGACAAAAGTTGATTGGAAAATCAAAAAATGGTTGCTGTCAGGGCCAGTGACTCGGCTGAAATTTGAGCAGGGTTTGGTCAGCTTTAGTAAGAATATCTAAACAATAACTCTTCACAAATAAGCCCTTCAATAAGACTAATATGTCCTTTCATTTTCCTGGCAGAACAAGTGGGAATTCTGAAGTTAGGGAACACCATTTACAGAGACTCTGGTTATAAGTGGATAAATTAAAAGTAAATGACCACTGCCAATAACAAACGCAAAACGTTTTCCCTGCAGTGTTAATCTCTTCTCAATTCCCCAGTATTGCATATGCTCTCAAAAGTAAATTAGATACATTTTAAAGTCGTTTGGGGCTTTTTTCCAGTTCTGGAATTTAGCTGAGAAATCTGCTAGGCTCCTTGGCTGCCAGCATCCTGTGTGACTGCAGTGCGCCAAGAACTTTCCAATGTATTTCATCACGGAGATCCCCATGGCTAAATTAACGGAACCACCCAGTACGCCTCTGCTTCAAGGGAATGGTAGTGGCAGAAGAGACTCTTTCCAGTACTAAAATAGCTATCCACACAATCATAGGATGCACCAAGTGCCTTGGTTTGCACCTCATTTGAAATGGAGATGAAGAAATACACAGAGAAACTCTGCAAATGATAAATGCCCTAGTGGTAACATATGTTTGGCTCCCTTAAAACTGCAATTGAAAATTGTATAAAAACAAACAAAATGAACACAGTAATGCATTAACTAGGGAAAGAAAAATTAGTGCATATTTAAATGCAATTAGTGTAAGTACCTGAATGTGAAGTTCGATTCCTATAATCTCTTAACAGCAGTAGAGGGGGAGAGGGAGACTTAACACTAGGAGCCAACAAGTCGTATGCACATTTACTGACAGAGGACATGCAGAAAAGAAAGGGCAAACTAATGGCCCTTTAATAAAACTGCTACATCATTGTCCAATCTGCATGTTGGGGGGTGTTTTTATCTGGTGTTATGCAGCAATGAAGGTTGAATAGCTGGCTATGTAGCTTGGCAGAAGTGCCTGGATCCAGGACAGACCAATTGATAGGAAGAAGTAGTGGCTGCCTCAGCAAGGGTGGGGATGAGTCAAAGAGTGCTGGATGTGCAACCAATGTACGCAAACCTACCAGATAAATTTGCGGTATAAAGCATGTTGCCTGTTTTTGCAAGTACTCAGTTTTACAGTAATCTTGCATTTGTAGCTGGCATTTACATTACATGGTCTGTTCTTTTTGTCATATGAGGATTTTCTTGGAAGTTTATTCTATTGGTCCACTGGACTGCTGTTCAGGAACCCTGTGCCAGCATGCTCTGCTGCTGCCTGTTGTGCATGAACTGTGGATGTTTGGGCTTCCATGAGCCCAAGCTGTTCATATACAGGGGATTGCATGAGCTTTGAAAAAGGTTGACAGACAGCACAGCTTTGAAAAAAAGTACAAAACCTAACTTGAAGATCTCCTTGGTGCCTGCTAGCCAGCTGAGGGAGTCAGAGATATTATACACACACACACACACACACACACACACACACTACCGCTGGTCATATACTACTTTTATACAGGTGCTCATTAGGTTTATGTGGGTCCATACGTTTTGCATGATAGTATAATTTTTGCCAGATGGTGTTAAGGATTTGGGAAGCTAGTCCTTGCTGTAGGATTCCTATCAACGTCTCATCCGCAGCTTGTAATGCACTCTTCATAATGGGATTTTTTTCACGTCTACATACAAACTGTTCTTTTGCTTTAGATAGGGTGCCTGGTGTCTATAAATTAACATACACTGGCATTATTATATGAGTAACTGATTGGGTATGTTTAAGTATGGTGCATGTAACCAATCAAGTGTGTTTTACATATCCATTTTAGTATAACCTACTAGTATTTAAAAAGGACCCCACAACAATTTCTCTCTTGTCCAATACTTCATGAATGTTAAACTACTACAGCCTAGAGTAAAATTGGACATGGAACTGCCACAAAAGGAGTACACCATGAAGCCCAAGATCCTCAAGCAAAAATGGAGGGTCAGTTGGGTCCTGCACTGCAGAGTCTGAATGTGAGAGCAGAGGTCTGGAGGTTGTCCAGGGGGAGGAAAACCTTGGACAAGGCCATGACTAGGATCAGGTCCAGATGCTACAAGAATTGAGATGGTTTAATTGCCGACTTTTTGGAGATTCAGGATCCAGAAGAAAGTCATTCATATATCCCACAATGGGGATGTCCTGAAAGCAAACTAGAGCAAGAAGAGAGGCTAGCACCTTGGAAGATAGGGACATGCAAGGAGACATCTTTGATGTCCGCAGAGGCCAGAAGGTCTCCCAGATGAAGGGACCCAATAACAAACTGGGCTGATTCCATATGGAATTCTTGTACCAGGAGAAAGGTGTTGGGAACCTTTAGATCTAATGTGGGATGCATGCCCATTTTGCCTTAGGGCCCATTCACACCAGATGCAGTCCGTTGCGTTTTTGAGCTGCATCAAAAACGCAGCACAATGATTTCCAATGGGATTCTGTTTTTCTGTTCACACCAGACTAGTCCGTTCCGATGCAGCCAGAAAAAGTACTGCTTGCACTATTTTAGCTGCATCGAAACGCATCGCAAATGCAACGGAACGCAACTAAAAAATAAAAACCCACAGATTTAGTAATGTCATCTTCTGGGGACTTCCTGTGAGTTGGTAGAGGAGATTAGGAATGGAACAGCTCTGGAAACATGGCAGACATGGATGCTAATCTAATAATCAAATATCTCTGACCGTCAGCAAGGGGTGCACCCAATAACAACATTATTACTATTATATTATAATAACCTCCTACGTTGGGTGAGAATGGCTATTGCCAACACTAACACCATGCCTTCAAACAAAGGAAGCATGTCTGAGATAGAAAATGGAGGAAAGTGCTGTGACAGGAAGAGGGAAGTGACATATGGTCTGATTTGCATTTTGAGAAAAAAAACTGCATCGGAAACGCATCAAAAACGTGACAAAATGCATCGCAATGCAATGGCTAAAAAGCATGCATTTTCAATGCAGTTCTGGTGTGAATGAGGCCTTAGGGAACAGGTTTGAGTAATAACCCAGAAACATCTCTTTGCCCAGAACAATGACCTTGAGAGAAGAGCTGCATCAGAGCACCCTTAAGGTCCACCAAATTTTACTGAGAAGTTAGCACGTTAGACAACATGGGGACATCCAGTGTGTGATTAAAACAAGAAATGGCTGAACACAAAATGGGGACACTCCACTTTTTTGGAACCCCTCCTCCATAATGGTGTTGCTGCACAAAGCATTTAGGAAGAGCAAAGACTTTATACAGGTCAGGCCAATCGCCCCACAAGACCAGTTAAAAAAGAGAATGCACTGGAAAAGTCTTAACAGGTTGGGGACTTTTAGAAAACTCAGACTAGTAACCTTAGTTGTAGCTGATGCATGTTGCTCCAAGTCTAGGCATTTGCAAACTGCATTATTAAGGACTGAGATTGTATATTTTGGAGCTATGTCTGCAAACTTAGCCTCCTATACAAACTCCTGAAGAAATAAAAAAAAAAGGAAGGAAGGAAGGAGGGAGGGAGGGGAGAAAAAAAAAAAAGGAGGGAGGAAGGAAGGAAGAAAAAGGAGGGAGGAGGAAGAAG